AATAATAATAATAATAATAATAATAATAATAATAATAATAATAATAATAATAATAATAATAATGATAATAATAATCGATCATGATAAATCATCATTTCTTTTAGTTCTCTGCAGGTCTATAAAGTTTTGTCATTTAATAACTTAATTTAAAATAATCCTGAATCTTCATTTTTGAAGTGATTTACACTCACTGGCTCACTCACTTCATAGTTATACCGTGTGGTACAAGGTCGGACATCTTTTTGCCTTTTAAGAGTAAGATCGACCTTAATTCATCATAGTACGGATTGAACAAGGCGCAGGAAGCATTCCTAAGGGATTTTGCTTCATACTGACATCACGCATGATGTGAATCTTCTGTTCCATCCAAAGGTGCTCTATTAGTTTGAGATGGGGTGACTGTCGAGGCCATTTCAGTAAAGTGAACTCATTGTCATGTTTAAGATGATTTGAGCTGTGTGACATGACACGCTATTGTTGTCAGCAACAATAATCAGGTAGCCTGTGCCATACAAATGAAGCTCAGGTGTCTAAATGGCCTAAAGCATGCCAAGAAAATATCACACACCATTACATCACCAGCAGCAGGACAAACGCTGATACAAAGCAGGATGGGTCAATGCTTTCCTCTTGTGTACTCCTTGTGTACTCCTAATCCCTACCACAGTTGAAGCAAATTGAGACTCATCAGTACAATCATCTGTTGTCAAGCTTTGTTGTCCATGCGTAGCCTCAACATCATGTTAGCTGACATGAGTGTCACCCATTGAGGTCCTCTGCTGCTGCAGCCCATCTGCTTCAGTGCTCGATATGTTGGGCATTCAGAGACTTGGTTGTAACGAGTGGTTATTTGAGTAACTGTTGCCTTCCTATCATCTGAAAACAGTCTGGACATTCTAATCTGACCTTTGACACCAGCAAGACATTTTCTCGCGTCTGGATATTTTCTCTTTTTCAGACCGTTTCACTGTAAACCCTACAAAGGGTTGTGATCTGTCGCAGTAGATCAGCATTTTTCAGCCCGTCTGGCACTCAAAGTCACTTAAATCAAATTTCTTCCCCATTCTGACGCCGAGGTTAAGCTTCAGCAGATAATTGCACTATCGAGCATTTTAACAGTCGTAATAAGAAGCTGGGCAGCCATGTTTCACCAAAACAGCTTGAGTTCACCTTGAACCGGTGGACACACACACACCAACTCACATAAGATGTGTTCTCCTCTTGTGTTTTGTTAACAAACTGAACAAGAAGTTGCTGAGCTGAGACCTGGTGCTATCAAAGGCACACAAGTCACAGGATTTTCAATCATTCGGTGGTTGATGTGTCCTCTAAACGGAGTCACTGTCATCCTGGTTAAGACCGCTTCCACCTGCATACATTTACCACGGGTTAAGGTGACCACCCAGTGACTCTTCCCTATCTTCTTTATTATTATTAAATAAGTTGTACAAAATACAGTCTTTATTTGACACATAAAGACATTTGAATTTGCTGCTTTTAGCACCAAATTTAAATAGTAAAAATGTGGAATTTGATGAAAATATAACATTTGCAATCAGTCTTTACTCTGAACACAGACACCGAACAGGTTGTTGATGATTTCCCACAATATTTTACCCAAATCATGTCCTGATGACCTGTAATCATGCGCCTGGCTGATGGTTTTTTAATTTTAATTTAATTTTTTATTTAAAAAAGGAAGAATACAGCCACCACTGTTTTTGTCTGTGGTAAGCAAAACTGGAATGTTCAATGTAAAAATTTAAATTTGTACATTTGCTTACCCCCCCCCCCAAAAACAACAACAACAACAACAAAACCCCAAAAACAAACAAACAGGCAAAATACAATCAAAACAAAGACAACCTGCCCTCCAGCGCCTCAGGTGTCGCCTACAAAACTGTACAAAACAACATATCCCAACAATCATCACACTTTTGACCTTCCCCTTACAAATGTGATTGAATTCATTGGAAAATAAGTGACAATATCAGAGAAATAAAAATATTATTCATTGAGAGCGCACAGTGAGTTTGTGCAGTGACGCTGATGTTTTGTTAAGCTTTTTGCAATCATTTTATCCATGTTATTTCTACACAACATACATTTTGAAACTGCGGTTATTTGTATATAACATATACAGCTGAAATACTCCCAACAGTGAACATCTGATGCACTGCAAGTGTTTCCACAGTGATGAAATGGCACAATGTGTTAGTTAGACCAGCCAAAAGTGAAGGGATGAATAAGTCCACAAAGCTCAGTTTCCAAATCCTGCTCAGACGTAAGCGTTTCTCCCGTAAGTACTGGCGGCCAGGCTTCTGGTTGGTGCTGGTCCAGAATACACAGTTCCCCTTGCATGAGGTAGAGGGCTGCAGAGAAAGAAAACGTCAGGATCAGATGGTGGAAATACAAATCACCCCAAGCATGCTGCACATCATATACTCAGAGTCTCAGCAAGGAAATTAAAAGTTTTAGAATAGTGTTAGAATAAGTTATCCTTATAGTGGCAGTGCACCTGTCAGAAGTGAATATAAGAAGGCTATGGTCAGTGTAAAGTGAGTAAAATTCTTGTGAATAATCTAGTTACTACTTTTTTTGACCACTGGGGGGAGCCAATTTTCTAATCAGGGACATGAGCACTTGCCACTAGGCAGCCATCTTGGTAACGTGTTTGCGTTGTTTCTTTTTAAAGCACAGTTTAGATCTACTTTAATTCTAATGATTACCTGGATAGAAATCTAAATCACTAATCTGATTTAAAAAGTTTACAATTTTACCGACTTTCTAATAAAATAAGGTTTTAATAAATACGTGTGTGGGTTTTTGTTTCTGTTTCTGCCAAAGATTTTCATTCTTTTTCAAATCTTTGATTGCTACGTCTCCGTTATTCACTTTGAGCAGTCTGAGACCTGCTCAGGAGCTTCCATCTCCAAACAGAGATCTCTCCACAGACAAATGTAAAATCTTTTCTATGCTGTGTTTTATGATGTCCCTGTAATGAAGGTGGGTCAAAAAAATTTTCATACAATTTTTATTTGTTCTTTTGCCCATGTTTACCATTGAGACAGGTAATTACCAAATAAACTATAAACCTACTATAAGCCCCTTAAACCTGCCACTTAGCACAGTCGAGACAAAGACACCTGGATGGGTGGGAACTATCGACACTTTGAGATAAGCTCATGTTGCCACAGTGAGTCGCTAGAGAGCCACGGGATCCGTCTCCCTTTGTATCACATTAATAACAGAACATTCAGCACATTCGTGTTTTCTTTAATTAAACCAGAACATTTTTCATGGCCGGGCCAGACTGCACCTGTAGACTCTGAGAATTACCTCCAGCTCTGTACATCAAAAAGAGATCAAACTCACTATTTTTCCTCTGTGCCCAACTTGCAGGAGCAGGTGAGAACGGCTCCTCCAGCGATGGCGAGCACAGCAGAGCACCAGCCGATGTAAAGCCCTTCTCCTATCTCATACCTGTGACACATAGCAAAATTATGGGCTGCTGGCACTGCACTTTAGGTCTGTTTATCTCACACCACTAACAGCAACTTACTTTGTGCCAGGGTAGTAGGGATCAAAGAAATTCTGAGTGATATTGAAAGCATACCAGGACACTGCAACCATAGTGCACAAACCTTTTGATAGAAAAAAACAGACAACAACAACAGGGAGTCTTTAGTGAGCAATAAAACAGTGACAGGTCAGAGTTTAACTCTGATCCAAAGTATTGAAGTAAACAAAAATAGGTAGGACTGATCTAAAAAGGCGGTAGGGCATTATCATGATTCATCAGCATGCTGGGGAGGTTTCTTTATCTTCTTTAAGGGGTAGTGTAATAGGAGGTCAATATTGTTATCTGAATAGCCAGGAAGAACAGACTGTATTTTCTATGCTTTTGTTACCTTGAAGCATAAAAAGTACTCCAGCAGTGCCTGCGATCCTCCCTTTGAGAACATAGTTTTCTCCTCCCGCTTTAGAGCATTGTATCCCGATCAGCGAGCCCAGCAGTCCAAATGTGCCAAACACTATCGAGGCAATCATCAAGGCACGAGACGCTTGGATGTAACCTGGAAACAGTGCATAGATACACAAAACCACATAATTCTAGCAGATTTTTTCAAAGATGGTTTGATGTTTTAATGTGTACCCACAGTACAACAAAAGACAGGACATCTAAGCTCTTCAAGTTGTCCTTTTAATACATTTCTTATGACAGAAACCCTCCTCCAGACAAAGCAACATAAACATTTGATGGCATCCAACTTTCCCGAACCTCATGATATTATTAAGAAGTCAATTTTTTTGTCAGCATACCATTCAAAGCGAGCATCGAAGGGAAGTCCCTGCAGTTACTGACCCCGGTTGAATCTGTCGCGCAGGACATCCACAGGTTTTCATAGATTGTAGAGGTGGTGATGACATTTCCGTCAACAGTGGAGGTCCTCCAGTAACGGTTTGGAATCGCAACCCCCACCATTATCCATCCGACGAACCCCAAAATCACAGCCACCACTTCCACGATTGGATCCATGACTTCTCCTCGGCCCAACTGTCAGTGACGACAGACTGAAGTTTTTGAATTTAATAAAAGTTGTTTTTTTTATGAAGATAAAAACATCGGATTTGGGTGAATGTGTGTGTGTGATGTGTGTCCGCTCCGCCACTGAGAGATGTGTCCAGTTCAACAGATAAGTATAATCAGTTATATGACTCACTTGCAGTCTCTCCTCCCCCTACACTCTCTCTCTCACACGCACACACGTGTACTCTATCCTCTTTTTTTTTTTTTTTTGCATTTTACACCCCTGAAACTGAACAGGTGTTTATCGGTTCACTTTCAGGGTCCAATGGTCATCTGCTACTCTTAAAGACGCCGTGACTCTGTATGCATTTCTGGTTATGTTTATGAAAAATACTCAACCATATAAAATTCTCCCATCTCTCATAATAAATGATTACACTATTTGTCATTTAATAACTTTTAAAGGATATCATTGCTTAAAAAAAAAACAACTAGTTTTTTTGTAATCACTATTCACTATAACACTTCAAAACTCATATCGAAACATATACGAATATATTTCTCTAAATTATGCTCCACCGCGTAGGTTTTATTGTTTCGGTTTGCATATCTCAAGGCCAGAAGACTCGAGTTAACAATTTCTTTGTCACACCCTGTGCTTGGGAAACATCAATATTTAACAGGTATTTAATGTCACAAACACCAACCAGAGACCAAGGTCTATCTAACGCTGCCCAGTTCATCCCGTAGTTTCTCACTTTGTTTCATGCCATTAATAATCCTCCTGATAGCTTTTAGGTCAGCGTTGACAAATCCAGGGCACTCTGAGTTTACCTCACTGATAATTTGAAGATAAATCTTAACCTGCATTTCACACCAAGCCGTCAAGTCGGTAGAGGTGGGGAGATTTATAAACCAGCGAATGTGTTTGTTTAAAGGTCAGCCTCCAGGAATAGCCCCATTCACCAACAATAAGCCAGACTCAAGCTACTGGTGAGCCGAGTGTTTGGAAGGGAAAGTTCGACTTGTGGAAATGAAAAAGACACAAAGGTTGTTAATTGTAACAAAAGTTCAAATATTTTGCATTTATTTTACGCAATGACAAAGAAACTAAAAACTCACAAAATGCTTAAATAAACCGATTAAATATAATGAGCACATTTTCAGTGATATAATCAAAGAGGGTTATGCTCTTTATGTTTCATCAGATAGGTTATTAAACTGCTCAAATGGCATGTAACAACTGAAGGTAAGTAACATAGTTTGGCAACATTACTGAGTGAACTGGGAGACCATGAAACATTTTGTGCTGATAAAAAAAACTACAAATGTTCAAAGGCTCCTTTTGAAAATGACTTCTTATTATCATTACTGTTTCAAATTAATTATGTTTTGTTAGTCACCACAACTGCAACTGTAATTCGTGTTCTTTGCAAATGTGAACAAGCTGAAGAACATGGTTAACACGGCTGCCTGATAAACATTAGCATACTAGCATCGTCATTGTGGTCATTGCGCGCACTTAGCTAAAAGTGCTACTAGCAAAAGTCAACACTTTAACTTAACATTTTTCTGTTTTCATGAAACAAATTTCCATCAGACCTGAAATATTTCAGCCCACTTTTCCAACAAGTGTTGCTCAACTGCCATAAAATTTATATATTTTTCTTTTTTTAATGGAACCATTAAGCAGGAATTTGATTACTGGTTTTAGCAACAGTACTGCCAAATGTAAGGTCGTCATAATGATGCATTACTTTGGAACAACTTAGCTCCAACAGTCTTATGAAGAAACTGTCACTGTTTTTTTTAACACCATTTACACTTTAATGATTTACCCGTCACACACTTTCCAGAATCTCCAGCTATTTGTGAAAAATGTTCTGGGTTGTTTTTGGTGATGAGGCTGCTGCTAGCAGGTCTCAAATCACTCGTCCTGCTCATGATCAAAATTCCTTTGCTGGTTTTAGACCAATCTCTAAACTCCCTTTTTGGTCTATGGTGGTGGATAAAATTGTCCTTCAGCTCTAGACTTTTCTGGAAATAAATGGCGTCACTGAAACATTTCAGTCAGGTTTCAAAATAACATCACAGCACAGAAACTGTACTTTTAAACATTTTTGATGATCTTTTATTAATTGCAGACTCAGGTAATCCTGCCTTTTTAGTGCTTTTAGACCTGAGTGTTTGATAGAGTGGATCATGGTGTCCTAGTCTTTATGGAGAGCTGTGAGCACTAAAGGAACTCACCTTGAATTGTTTTTACGTCATATTCAGTGGCTTACATGGGGCATCCCTCAAGGATCTATCCTTGGCCCGGTACTCTTTTCACTTTCATGTCATGGTGATGATTTAAAATACTATATATATACATATA